TGTAGTTATGATTGTATAATACTGATAAAAGATATTTCAAATTACATACTTAACTTTGTTGTCATGAGACTATATATGAAAATCAATAGGTTATCTAGATAGACTAAAGGTAAGCCATAAGAAAGAAAAAAATAATATAGTGATTTCAGTAGTTGAGATCATGAGTCAATTGAACCTAGACCACCATAAAAAACCTGGAAGCACTGTACGGCTGTTCCGTCCTATTGTAGGTCCTGGGCTCGAATCCCCGCCAGGCGGGGTCGTGGATGCGCACTGCTAGGGAGTCCTGAAATAGAACGAAATGGCCATCCAGCGTTTCCAGGTTTTCCATGGTTGTCTAGCTTCAACTGACTTATGATCTTAACCATTGAAATTACTATAATTTAATTATTAGATCACCTGAAAATCTTCTTCAATTTGTTGTCTTTCTTCTTTATCCAACTGTGTGATTTTTATTGGTTCTATCGCTTTCCGTAATACTCGGCTATAAATAAAAGATAACATAATCATGATTCAAGATTCCATTATGAATGAATTTGAGATTCTAAACATTTATCTCTTCTAAATTATTTTCATAGTATACGTTCTAGTAGTATTCAAATTACTTGATGATTATTAATAATGGATAACTAGTCATATTTTGAACTCTACATAATAGGTTGTTTTTTTTACAGTTATGACAATCAAAAAGTATTTATATTGGTACTTCAATCTAAATTTAACCGCATATTTGATTATAAAAAAAATGAATTTTGTATTTATAATTGCAATAAACAATCATATGATTAAAATTTGATAGTTCTATCAAATTTTTGGTAGAATGTAGGAAATAATAATAAAACGTTGATTCTAAGGTCTTGTATTTTCATATATCATAACTAGAACTTTCACGTTTTTTCGCAAAGCACTTTTGTTATCAAACTGAACATAAAATCTGGTCTTGATAAGAATATTTTGCTTGTCAGTACTAATGCTTACTTCAAATGGAAATTGATACTTTTGCGGAATTTATCAAAGATATTGTAAGTTATTGAGTAAGGAACTGAAGACGTTTTTAGCAAGAAAAGTTCTATAAACAAAGGTTAATAAAGTAATCTAGCCACTGGTAGAAATACTAAAATATAAAATATTCTTTATCATTTTATAAGACAGTTTTTCACTGAAAAATTATTCCTTAATATTTACCATGCAATGCTAGTAAAATTTTCTAATTAACATTCTTCGTGTAGTTGCTTAGTGGTAATTACATTTCTACACTGAAAACAGTCATATTCAAAACATCAACTTATGATACATATATACCTATATTCATTGTATGTTTACATAAGTAAATTAATAGGCAGATTCTTATACGACATTTATTGTCTATTGGCGAACAATAATAGTAATAGTATTCAAAACTAAAAGTGCTTGAGTACTCTTAATCCAAATACTAAATCCCTTCTGGCTCTAACTAAATGTACATTTTTGCCGTTTGTGTATGCTGCAATTCAAGAACAAAAAGTTACTTATATTTTACCAAAACAGTTGTGTAGGTTTTGTTGTACAAATATGAGTCGTTTGCAACTTAATGATATTAAATGATTAAAACATTCTACTCAACTCTTTATCCGAGTAGAACTTTTCAAAATATAGGACAAAAAACGCTAATATAAATAACAAAGTAAATATAGATCAGAAAATTAATCAGATGTAGAGTCTGAAAATGTTTCAATGCATTTAAGCAAATCCATAGACCTCAGAAAGCTGGTAACTAAAGTGAGTTTCTTGTTCTAAGGTCCCAGTTGTGATCGCTTCTGTGATGCTCTCGCTAAAACAAGACTGTGGGATTTTTTTAAACAAGATTTTGGTTTCTGAAATATGAACTCGGTAGCTTTCGTAGTTTGATTGGCTATTGCAGTGTAAGACTATAAACACCATGTTTCGGAGATGGTTTCCATAATACAGTGTTTTTGATAACATACAATGAAACGGTATCCATTTTCAAGAACATATACTATTCTTACAGATCAAGATTATAAATGAAAAATCTAATAAAGAATCAACATTCACTTAATTTGCATATGCCATGTTTTTATCAATAGTTTGTTTACCACGATAAGGTCTACGCTATTTTTCACCTTAATCCATCCTCTATATTTTTTAGATAAAGTGACGGTTATTGTGTATGCTTGAAATATTGACTGTTCCAAAAGTTTGTGGGACATGTTTGGGTTTCAGGTTGTGACCCTGAAATACGAAGGTAACCTAACTCGGTGAGAATTAGCCAAACGCTAGTTTTTGATGCCGCGCTTCAAGCATATACTAATATTTCCTATGTAGTGGGTAGCCAGTAAGTAGACCTGATATCGAGATTTTCGTCATCACGTAAATTTACGAATACATTGGAACCAAATTACATTTGCGTCACTGAGTTTATTACCACTGCTCATACCTGATTTAGTGAAATTAATAAATAACAGAGACAATACTTTTCAACTGGTTGTATACAATGGTGGCAAACAACTGGTACTCTGAGATGACATAGTGATTTTAATGAAATGGGCATCAAAAGCCACCAACACACACTTATCAATTTTGTGTCACAAAGAATTGAAGAGCTATGTAAATAGTCGGTTTTCAAGAGATGAAGGTATTGGAAAATAAGGAAGAATATTGGGAAGTCGGAGAGCATCTAACTTTTGTGAAGTAATTTAGGCAACATGTCGTGCAAATTTCTATGCATCAGCCTTACTGACCTGTTTGGATGTAACTTTTTGACCTTTTCTTCACAAAATGATTCAAGTTCAGCATAACGTCCGACTTCACCAGACCTGAAATTATGACATATGTAACACTGGTCAATACCTTAAGGTTTTCAATATTTTCTCCAGTTCATATGGGTCATTGCAAGAGTCAAGATATTTAAAGTCCAAATGTGATATAGGAATATCATAGGTTTTTGTTCTTTCGCTAAAGTAAACACTATCACTCATTGATAGGATAAATTGGAGTCAAACAACTGCTGTTTTCAGTAATTAGCACGTTTAAGCAATAAAACAAATCATCCTATACTTTAAGTCATTAGTAATAAATATGAAAGAATTGCCCACTTGAGGTACGTTTTCTGGTAACGGTTTCTCTGAATGTTCTATTTTCTGCCATAAATGTCGACTCATGTGCTTATATTATCAGTTCAGACAAAATATTCCAACAGCTGACTTACTGACGCCTGTTTCTGAAAAAAGATTATGCCCTTCCACACAGTTTACGAAAGTCATCCGAATTATCTTTCCGATTAGTTCGACAACCACATTGATTAAACTAACGGATTGGTAGTTATTAACCAAGTCTCTGCTCCCCGTCTTATACATTGAAATGATTACTGTATCTTTTCAGTCTCTTGGAAGTCTGGAATGCTTCAAAGATGTGTCAACCAGTATGGCTATCGGTTCTGCAATTACATCTGATTGGGCTTTCCTAATCCTACGTTGAATATCATCAGGACCACTGGATTTATCAGGTTTGAAATTGTGAAGTAGTCTTAAGGCAGTGTAACGGTAAATAAATCCCCAAAATAAATAGCTCTGTAGGTTCTCGACATTGGATACTGACCACATTTTTTAATGGACTAACCTAGCTGAAGGCGCTCGGTCATGTATCCGCACCAGATCACGAGTGGGAACTCCGTGCTCAACATCTACAGCAATCGCTAGCCAGATTAGATCAGGCGAATCTTGATATATTGACAGACTATCAAATATATCTCCGAACCTCCTCGCCTCTGTCTTTTGATTTCACTTGGTGGGTATGTTTCATATTAAAAGGTGTTACTGGTTGACGCGTTGTCAAACTGCGAATACCTGTGGCATCATCAGCAGTACCATTCTCAATAGCTACAGGGTCCATCAACAAGCCGCCGCAATCACAATTATTCGTTAGTCGCTCCTCGTTGCTGATAGAAAACATTTTACTGAAATATCCCGGTAAAGCTTCAACTTTTTCGACGTCATCTCTTATCTATATTAACGAATTTTCTTGTACCAAAAGTGATGAAGTTCCATCAGTTTTCTGAGTTCGCCTTTCCATATACGAGGATAACCATTTTGCACCATTTTTACGATCTCTAACCAATCGCTTTTCATATGACCGTCTAGTCTTACTTATTAACGCCTTACGAGCATTCCTAGTCTTAGTATAACTGGATATTTACTGTACAGCAGAGATGAACAAATTTCAATGCATTTTCCTACGTCTAAGGAGTTTCCTGACTTATTTAGTTATCCATGGTGGACAGTTATTCGGCCTACGTGGTACCAAGCATCGCATAAACGAGGACGTAACTGAACTAAGATTGCTTTCAAATAAAGAGCATGTTTCTTCAACTGATAAGGTAGTATCTACTGACCAATCTGTCTTAGCCGCGCACTCCTGAATGACCGATATGTTAGTTCTCTATATATCAGGGCGAGGTCTAACCTGATCGTATTTCATGTCACTAGCTCTTGCCATGAATGGCAAAACAGTTTGATCGCTATTCATTAACGGTGGAAGAATACTTAGGTTGGCAACATACTCAGTCGCATGATTGATTACCAAGTCTAACAAAGAATAACCTTTGTTTGCTCTGAAACGTGTAGGTTTGGATACATGCTATTCTAATGCATGCTCCATCACCGTTATCAGGAACATCCTGTAAAAGGAGTTTATAGATCCTACCGTGTCCATGTACAACATCCAATAGTCAGCTCACAGCTAATGGCTTCACAAGTTCTATTATCATGGGACTAACAAGCTAATGAGAAGATATTTACATAATTGGATATGTATAAAATGACGCCACCTCCTTTCTTATATCTATGTCTATCACTTCTTAGGTAATGGTATCCGGATAATTCTGGAGTAATGTTGAAGTCATGGATTGACCAAGTTTCTGTCACAGCCACAATGAGTGACTTTAACTTTATTTGTTTTGTGCTTTTTTCTTAATATACGCTGTTTTCATCATCTTCAGCCACGAGTAGACATTCAATCATCAAGGTCACTCAAGACGTCATTCAGTTAGAGGAGAGGTATAGTCTCATCTAGTTTTACACTAAATTACTCGTTTATCTAGTTGTTTGTGTTTCTTCACGATCTAAGGTCTTAGATTTTCTGACATCTTAGGTCTGTCATCCAAATAATAGTTTATCGGCTTGTGCTAGTCTTCATAACAGTGCTTTTGTAGCCACAGAATAGTTTATTATCTTGTACTAGAAAACTTAACGATTAGTTTCACTTCTTGCAGAAAGTATTAACTAATAAAGTAAGCAATGTCGCATTCATTTTTTGGCATACTTTACAACATATTTTCAAAGTATATATATATATATATATAACTGCATATGCTGGTTAAAATACTTTGAATAAAAGTTTTTATGAAATGAGCATGATACTTTGAACATCTTGTCAATGCTGATATTTTCCTTACAACCTGTGCACTCAACGCTTCTTAGATTGCCTAAACTTTGGGACTTTCGAATTTTGTCCGAAATTACCAGTATTCTGATTCATTCAGATGTTTATTATGATGGTTAAAAATATTCGTTGTCTATTGTCTTGACGTTTATGTCAGTCACCCAATGTGATGCAACGTAGAACCTGGTGCACATGCATGTAGGTTTACGTTGCCACACCCCATTAGTACAGAGAGATGACATTGTTAGTGCAAATTGCAGAATAGTAGAAGTGGTAAGTAGAATTTAGAAACCTGAGATCTAATGAACGACAAAGATTGGATGCCACTTCATCACTACAAACGATTCTGAGACGTCATGAAAGGTCTCTACTCGTTCTCTGTGATAGTCCAGACCCAAATCAGGTAGTTCATCTTTTAACATAACACTCTTCATTTGTTAGCGACTTCATAGACTTGCACTACGTTTTAACTTAGCCACCCCTAGCTTCCAACCTACTCACACCAGACAACAAAGCCTGTCGAGGTAGGCGGTAATTGGGCATCCGTAACATCTCCCAGCCACCTCAGTTAGTGAAGATTTACAACCTCATCAATCCATTTACCATCTTTACCTAGTGCCTTATCCCTGGCCCTGACGTCACCTACTCGTTTGTCCTAAAGTATACAAGAAATTCTTCGGAGACACTTATAGTCGAACACTAGTTACCTACGGATATCCCATATTCCTATTGATCATGTTTCACATCCATAAAATAAAACGGTGTGAATTGCTGCTGGATAAAGTGCATTCTCGGGACCTAACCTAGTGGCTACTTATCGATGGTACTATGTAATCGTCTTGCTGTCTCAAAACGTTATGGAAAATACAATGGTAACAGTTTTATCCTGGATTTGTCTGAATATGATCGTTTTAGCGACATGACCTAGGAATGTCGGATTTAACCTCATGTAAAGTTTTATGCACTGACTGCTGAGTGACAAGGTGAGATTCAATGAATGTCCAGTTTACCCCAGTTTTCTCGAATTTTCCGACCGGTTTTACTTCATGATAAGATTAGACTTTAAATTAAACAATTTTCCATAAAGACCGATTACATCGATGTACTTGTTCCGGTATGTTTATCCTTTTCCTCTGGTATTATGCTCGTTTTATGGCATTTTTCCAAGTCCTATTGAGGAGTGATAAGTTAAGCAACTTCATCCCGCTGCCATGAATCATTAAATCCCTATATTTTTTATTCATCTGACCAAATAAATATTGTTACAGAAGTATCTATACTACAATCTTACCCGAAGCCACTGATTATTTTATTCGATATCTAACTATTGTTACGTTCCTCGATATATTTGATGCTCACATAAATTGTGAATAGAAACCCTACATTCACTTACTGCCTACCAGAATATAAACTTCCAGCATCCCACGTAATTAGACTAATTTGTTTATCTCAATCTGTGATTCATTGGTCTCCTTGTTCATTAAGTATCAAAATATTGGTTTAAGGTCAACTTAAACTAAAGAGCTAAGTGGTATAGTTATCATATTTAAGTATGGGATCGTTCAAAAAATAATTTTAGTTGTTACGGGGTTATACTAGCTATACAATTATATATTTAAACAACATCTGTTTTTAGGCCTTTTTGTAACAATGTCTTCAAATCCAAACGACGTGACAGATCTTATAGCAAAAGCTGAAAAATGGTATACCGTACATTTTGTCTTTTAATAACTCGATTCAGCTTAAAGATATCTTTACTAAAGAGGAGGCCTGATTATGATGGTGCAATCGAATACTATGGAAAGGCTGCATTACTTCATAGAAATCGCAAGCAGTTAAAAGAAGCGGCTGAGACATATAAAAAGGTAATTTCGTCTCTTAAAGATCGTTAGTCCTCAGGTTGCTGAACTGCATTTTAAAAATGGGTCTTATTTCCATTGCGCCAAACAATATGAAATTGCTGCACAAATGTACCGTGATTTGAAAGATTTTTCACAAATGGCTTCATTAATTGCTGAGGCTGGACTGATGCTACGGCAAAATGGCACTCCTGACTCAGCATCATATGTTTATGAACGAGCTGCCAAGTACATCATTATTTCTCCTTAATACAATGTCATATAGAAGCCTTGAAGAGCCATTACCCGAACGTGCCGCTGAATTTTATGAAAGATCTGCAGATGCTTGTGAGGTTAGTTTCTATATATCGTAGCAATTACATTAAAAAATACAGAAACCCTGTCACATATATTTATAGTACAGTAAAAAAAATTAGCCATAGTTTATTTTTTAGCTAATAAATCTCTATTATTCTCGTTTACTTGTATCCTTTTAAACACTATTTGTTATGGTTATCAGATAGAAGAAAAATTTCATGAAGCTGCAACACAGGCTAACAATGCTGCTCATATATGGGTTCGTTTAAAGCGTTTTAACGAAGCAGAACGTCTACTTCGATTATTTATTGATTACACAACAAGAGGTCACGCGGATAGTGTTGGAGCTACGGTAGGTGGATTTGCTGATCCCAGTGCATCACCAAAGCTGTGTGGTCGTGCTGTGACAGTTCTAATATTGATTAAATTGTATATGGAGGATGAAGTAGCAGCCAAAAAGATCTTCAATGAAGCTGTTGAGTAAGCATGCCTGTCCTTTTACCAATAAATTCTTTTTCAGTACAGGTTTTTGCGAGGTTTAAAAGGAAACTTGTATTTGTTATAGCTTATGAGTCTACAATCATATTAGTGGTTGGGAATACTCCAAAGCTTCCTAAACTAATACACCTTCGTAAAGTTGAAAAATCATAATTATGTAATATTTTACATTATAAATATCTGAACGGAATATCACTAATTAACATCTCAAATACATTTTAATAGCTGAGTGCGTATAATTCTATTTTGACTTAGGAGACATTAAACGTAAGATTTTACCATCTCCTTTTTTCGTTTTAGTTTACTTTCCATCAGGTTAGCATTTATATCGTAAATTTAAGTACGTTTTCCACCTAAAAATCATGTAAATTTAGTGTTTGCTAGGTTATCAGTCTCGTTTACGTTGTGAGAAGAAAATACACTGCTCAGGCATAGTAGGTGATAGTAAATGTTCGAGCTTGACAAGCAAAAGTTTGGAAACCCTGGCCTCAATTTTAATTCCAACATTATTTTTACATTGTTAAACACTTCTTTCTTTTAAAGTCTGATTAAAAAGTAAGACATTGATGGCCCCCAAATGCCCTGGTACGGCCGAGAGTGGGGAAAGTCCGCTCTCCCTCTCGAAATGCTCTCACATGGCCACGCGTATATAGCCTCTGCCAGGGAAGTCCTACTCACTGCCTTCTCGTGGCGGGGGTGTTATTTACAAAAATGAGAGGACGAAAAGCGAATGTCCGGCGCTTTAACCGGATCCCAAACTGATGGTGCACATGGGCTCCAGTATCCTGCGGGAACAAATGGCGTATGAACCAATCGTTGGTCACCGGCTACCATGGGACTGCATCTCCTTACGATGCTCCACTGCCTTGTGGGTAAGACCTCTAGGTCAAAGGCTCGGGGAGTGGCCCCCTAAGAAAACCACCTGCTTCGGTTTGGGCACCCGGGCAGTGTCACAGCCCTCGCACATATCGAATAAGATTTGTGTGGCGCATATGTATTTGGTGCCTTCTTGTACCAATATCTATGTGTTAAAATAAAATAAATAAGGACATTGATGACCAAAAATATCTGTTCATCATTTGTACATATTTCTTTTGAAAGGAAGTGGTCATTAATATCATCCATACTGTTCTTATTTGTCATCTTAAGGCGATGGAGATTTCCGGAAGCTGAAGAATTTTCTGCAGTGAGGCGACTACTAGCTGCCGTCGATGATATGGATCAAAAGGCTTGTGAAATGGCAATAAAGGATCAGTGCTTCAAAATGCTTGACCTAGATGTAAGTTTTGTGCGTTTATCCAATTGTTTCTCCTAGTACAAAACACTGACTTTTAGTTTTCGCTGTTATTACTGAATGGTTTTTGTAAGAAAAATGAAGTTCATCCCTCACCGCCACATTTTTTAAAATTCTGACTAAAATAGTTATAACGCAAAAATAATAAACATTGATTGATTGATTCTACGTTATTTGAATATGTTTGTCGTAGTAAACTTCAATTTTAGAGCGGTAGCTCAGTAATAATTACGGTTTTCAACTTTCAACTTCTAAGTCGCTCATCCAAACCATGTTTTATCTACCTTGTTTTGAACAACCAAGCAGTTTTACTTAGCCTTATTACACCGCAAGTGTGGTTCGAAGCCGGTTATGCGAAGTCTGTACCCTGTAATCAAAAAAAGAAAATCATATCTAGATGAGTAGTGTTTTCTATCATCAGTTCAGTATTATGTTTACAACACTTGATCACTTATGGGAAGCCAACTAAAAAATGAATGTATATTTGTATTTTAGAATTTATCAATAAATAGGTTCATCAGCCTTTTTAGGCATCAAACGTAGGATTCATGGTCAACATTTTAGTTTCCAAAAGCAGTAGATTTATCTTTTATAATTTTAACTTTTTCCAATCTGAACTAATTCGCGGTGCAGATTAATTCGAACAGGAGACTTTAATTTGAACTGATGAAAGTATGAGACTGTTATTTTCAATCTAATAAATTATTACCACTGAATTGTCACAGTTAGACAATAAAACAAAAAAAAAGGTTTTTATTCGATCGCACAATGATCTCCATCGTAAAAGAATTCAATATTTTTTATTGGCTAACGTTGTCTCCAATACACTCAAGTTATTTGATTCATCCCTTAAAAATATCATAAGTGTTGTGACTTTATGTCCGGCTTCTTATCACGTGATTTATCCACCAACCAAAATACGACTTACACAATCTTCGCATCGTGCCAAACCAATGACTTTCGACCGGTATGAGCAGCCTAGCGTCTTTATTGGCTCTATGTCCGCCTAGCCCGTCCATTTGAGTCCAAAACAACAATACCGGCTTCCGATATGCGAATCGAATCACCTGTTTCAGACATATTGGGTTTATAGATCAATCAAACAGATCGCAACGCACCATAACATAGGAAATAACATTTGTACACAATAAAGCCAAAAAGTGGCTGTGAACATTGGAGGCAGTGGTTTATAAACTGAACACAGCTTAAGAACAGTAAATCGTACAATAATAAATCATGGGTCAAAATGAAGCTTATAATAAGAGGAATATAAATATACATAATGTAATTATTGAATAGTTATACCATAAGAATGTATAGATAATATTAGTCAATTAATATGTCTCAGGAGTTACTCGTGATTTAATCTTCGTTCGGATATAACAATAAGTAGTTGTAAATTGTTAAAAGTTATTGAATGTGATCAAGTAGATAAAGTACACATTCAAAGTTTTCAGCAAATCTCACTGATTTCATAAGGTCAGAAATGATTTTTATGAACCTTACTGGAACATCTATCAATAAAGTATAACTGTGAATATATTTTGATTGACAACTTATTAAGATGAATTTCATACTATGTAGTAAAATGACTATCATCATGTAGCCTTTTCAAGCTATTAATTTAGTGGTAATTAGTTTAAGATGTGGTTGTTTGATAGAATTTATCAAACATCAATATGTGTTAAGTTAGTCAATTTATTTATGTTCTGTTTCATGATTCAAATCGGTTACGATACACACTATTTTATAGTATATCAAAATAAATATGAATTATGATGTATACAATTCATAAATATATAGACGTTTGTCCTTCCGGCCCCACATAAAGGCACGCAGGTTGCGATTTTCAAAAAGTGCATAAATGACTTCCTTTCATAGTACGCGTCATATATAACTTATCGCTTACCATTTGTAGTTTTCCATCTGATCATTCCTCTTTTGTGATAAGTCCATCTTTCTTATGTGATTCAGTTGATATGAGGGGGATATCAATTTGAAGTTAATCTTTATTAAAGATGAATTATACGAATTACGTCTACTTTATCTGGATACGAATCTAAGCTACACATTTCTTTCTTTGTAGCATTCAGTTATCTTGTTAAAATGTAGTGCTTAACATTTCCCAACAAATTCATAACCATTAAATTTCAGTAAATTTTTTAATATGTAAGCGAGAATGTTGGAGAATGCTGGTTGGCGGCCTATGCTCTATTGGGAGTAACAGGCTTAAGTAAGTAAGGCGAGAATGTTAATGATTGGTTGCCTGCTTAGTCAGACATGTAGATAGTCTGATTGGTGTTAGATGAGTTATATATTCCCCCTATCCTTATTATTATTACTACTCACTTATTATTGATTGTTTATTATTGTTGGATTGGGTTAGGTTTTTGATGTGGAAAAATATTTAAGTTCTAGTCAGTCTAATCACGTGTTCTTGATCATCTGAGTTGTGTTGAAGTCCTGTAGAATAGACACTGAGAGAGAATCTAGCATAGATATTTTCGTCTAAGGTAAATTAACCATCCCATACATGTAGATGAAGTAAAACTAACCATGATAACATTTTTGTTTAAAATTATTTCATCTCAATAATCATTTATACTTTATTTTATTTCTTTGACATTATATATCCTACATACAGTATGCTCGTCTAGCAAAAGAAATTAAATTCCCTTATAGTGATAATGTTTCTGAACAAATACAAAAGTCAAAAGACAGTTTCATTTCAACATCAACAAATTCAGGGAATTTAAATAATCCAATACAAGATGGTAACCAAGGAGATGCACAAGAAGAAGAAGAGGAAGAAGAGGATATTTGTTAATGTATTTTCTGATTTCTTATTGAATCACTTGATCTTTTCATTATTATTTGATAAGAATTTCCTTTGAACTGAAATCATGACATTACAAGGGATATACATATATATATACTACTGATATACTCATATGAATGCTAATTATTTATTAGCTTTATTATACACATTCCTATATTTTAGCGCATAATTTACCCGTAATTACAGAACTTTCTCTAATTATTTATATTCTACACATTTTTTTGTATTCTATATGCTTTCCTTCTATTTTTTTCTGTTGTTGTTGTGTATATTGATGAATTGAATTATTCATCTGTGCATTTCAAATGTCTAAGATAATGCGATGAATAAATAGATACGTAATATATTACTTATTTAATCAGTTATTATCATATTACGTTTCAGTTATGTCAGTCAGTCAGCTACAACGTAGGACCACGCACATATGTGTATCGGTTCAAATTGCTATACCTCATTAACACAACAAGATGAACACTGGATTCAGATTAACTATAACCTTTTGAACTTCAGATAAAGTCGGGGGACCTACTTCAATGTTCCATTCACGCAGTCTGGAAATGGTGCTTAGTTGTTGAGTAGCTGAAAGCCAGTTGAATTGCTCCTTAAAATGTTCCATCCATCGTTCTAAACGTCTAAACTGGGAGCAGATAGGAGTGTCGTCTTTTGCTGAGATAGTCTCACTTACACTTGATTTATTAATTCGAGTTTTTTTTATTAGTCTGTCGAGCTGTCTTGTGTCACCTGCAGCTGCCACCTTTTCTATCTCTTTATGTTATGTTGTTCATTACGTTTGTACAGAAATAATGACTTAGAATACTCATAACTAGAAAATGTAAAGAGATTTAAGAGAATTAACTACTTTCATGAATCCGGTGTCCATCTTGTTGTGTTAAAGAGGTATGGCAACTTGGACCGATGCATATATGTGCCTGGTCCTACGTTGTAGCTGACTGACTATGTTATGATAGAATAAAATTTGAAGTGTTTGTATAAGGTTTGTGAAGTCAGTTTAAGATAAGCATTTCTTCTTGTTGACCCATCTTCAGTTCTCTTCAGACGAGAGCCTTGATGAAGAATTCATTGCAAAGAAAGATTTCTTAACTCAAATTGTCTTTTTAATATCTTAACAGGAATATTCAATGAAAATATTATTCTGTTAGTAAATTTTCAAATTATATCGTAAAGATAGTGTTCATTTCACAGAGAGATGAAATTAGCACAAAATATTTTTGATTGAAATCATGAACCGAACAATGTTACACCATCATTGAAAACCTGGAAGCACTGGACGGCCGTTTCGTCTTATCGTGGGACTCCTCAGTAGTGCACGTCCACGATCCCGCCCCCCGGGATTCGAACCCAGGGCCTTTGGTCTCGCGCGCGAACGCTTAACTCCCAGATCACTGAGTCGGTATTCAGCGGTGTTAATGTCTAACCTCAACTAATCCACGAAATTGCACGACCATCTTTTAATGTACTCAGTTAGATACCTGTCCCTACCCGACACGGATTAGCTCCACTGGTCACGGCTTCTCACTAGAAGTTCGAGAATTCCCTCATGAAGCTAGTCATTAGTGAGCACATGGTAACTATCAGTATGGTGTTGTGGAGATTACTTAGTTTTTGGTTGGGAATGGATGCACACAATAGGACGAAACGGCCGTCCAGTGCTTCCAAGTTTTCAATAGTGGTCTAACACTAATCGGTTCATGATCTCAATCAAGACAGACTCTGCTTTCAAAGTCATCTACAAGGTAAGTAGAAGTCTTCCAAAGACAATTAGACTATATCTTTGCATTATTAATTTCTCTGTTTAAAAATAAAATAAAATTTTAAATACCTTCATTTATTCTACCTCACTGTCACTATGTCTAACGGAAGTTTATTATCATTATTATTGTAATTAATATCCTCCTGTAAAAATAAGTATACATATTTGCAATTGTACAGCTTTGGAAATGAATTCGCTGAAAACAGAACTTTTCGATTTATTTAGTTTCACGATTATCTAATTCTTACATGTGCATTATACGACAAGAGAACTGTCTAATACAGAACTTTCATTTAATGATATAATAATAGAGATCCAGACGGACAACACTTAAACGTAATTACACTATGTGACCAAAACTTTACAATGTAATAAATATCAAAATTCTCTTCTTTATAAAACAAATATGTGTAATATGAAAGATGAAGAAATACATGAAGAATATCTGTCTGTACAAGAAACAGTAGTTATTATACGTATTTACATACAAAATAAAGTTTATAGAGTTTACTTTTCCTCTTTACATGTTTCATTTAGTTTGACATTATCAGTGTTACTTTGCATATCATCCTGTTCAGATTGATTATTATGTATATCAGGTGTTGATTTACAATTATCATTATCAACATCATCATGACCAACTTCGGTTTCTGTTTCGCTACCTAACTTTGATAGCATTGCAGTCATCAGTTCAGCGACTATACCAGGTTGACGTGATTCTAGTTCATTCTGTGTAGAGAGAAAAGTATATACGTAAATATTTTAACCAATCATTTATGAGATCAGAAATAGTGATAAATACTATTCAGTCAGTCATTATAACTCCTAGCACGAATGTATATTAATTTGCGTCTTCACAGTGTAAGAGGAAACAGATTATAAACGAAGAAGGTGAAATAATAATTTTGTCTGCAGTATAAAACTAAACATACAAGAAAGAGTCTGATGTTAGGTATTTGGATGTAGTCGGCAAAAAGTTCTGCATTTAGGTTCCTTACTAGGTAGCCCTCATCAATAAGACATAGCTGTAGTTTTGAGGGAACTGATACTCTCCGGTGGGTTGGAATCCAGATCATACAGTTTCAGATCAGCGAGCTATTCGAGTCGCAACTAATTTGCAGGATTGAGATACACAGATTAGTAGTATTTTTCTAGTCATTATTGCTGACCGAATCGATCAAGCTGTGAAACTGAACGATCCGAATTCGAATGTACCAGAGAGCATCAGTTCCCTTTAGATTACAAGTACGCTTTGGTGAAGAGTGTCAATATGCACGAAACATAAGTTCCTGCTGACTGTCTCCAACTACTTAACATCAAAATATAATATATGCAATATTGAATCACTAAGACTACTGACCACACTGAAGCTTAGTCGATACAATTTAGTTGGCAGTAAAACAACTAGACAGACATAACATTTGCCACTACTCAATGATCAGTCAGAATATATAGTTTACAAGGAACAAATAAGAATTATAGAATAGGAAGAATAAAAGACGTCGCCAACTATTGTTGTTAATTATCTTGTGAGGTACAAAATAGGAATCTATACATACGAATAAGATCAAAAGTCAATGTCTTCATGGATTGATGCCTTTTTTGTCTGGATAGTCCTAGACTTTTCACCAACCTACTTCACAGTTTATTCACCACTGAACAACATATGACAGTTGTTAATGTATTATATATATAGTAAGTAAGTAAGGACGTATATAATTAACTGTATGAACTTAACTCTAATATACATGAATATTTATACGGAAATGTTAAACCAATCAAGACGATTTGAATCGATGCCCCCAAATGCCCTGGTATGGCCGAGAGTGGGGTGGGTCCGCCCTCCCTCTCGAAATGCTCACACATGGCCATAAGTACACAGCCTCTGCCAGGGAAGTCCTACTCACTGCCTTCTCGTGGCGAGGGTGTTGTTTACGAAAATGAGAGGACGAAAAGCGAATGTCCGGCGCTTTAACCGGATCCCAAACCAAATCAATGGTGCACATCGGCTCCAGTATCCTGAAGGAACAAATAGCGTATGAACCGATCGTTGGTCACCGGCTACCATGGGACGGCATCTTCTCACGATGTTCCATTGCCTTATGGGTCAGGCGTTTAGGTCCAAGGCTCAGGGTGTGGCCCCCTAAGAAAACCACCTGCTTCGGTCTGGGCACCCGGGCAGTATCACAGCCCTCACACAAATCGAATGACTTATGTGGCGCATATGTATTTGGTGCCTCCTTGTACCAATGTTTATGTGTTTAAATAAATAATTTGACTCGATAATCACAATGAATTAGAATAAGTCACTACACATAATAGGTAAAAGTACAAGTTGATAGTAGGAAGACAGGTGAACTGATAATAGTGAGAATAATCAAAATACAATAACAAAACTCTTATCAATAGTTAATCGTTGGAAATAGGTCAAATGTGGATAAATAGACTTAGAATAATCATCAAGAAACATTAAAACCATTACGTAATAAGAAGTGTGTAAATAATTAGATAGTGGAGAATACAAACGGAAAGAGGCAAACAATTACAAACAAATACAGGAAGATAAAAATGATGATAATGATAACAAAAACAAAATAAAAAGTCGTTTGTTAAGTGATAACTGGCCATAGAAGGGATAGGGGGGGTGCGAATTTCTGCTGTACACATAAATTGGGATTAAATGTACGAATTCCTATGGCTTCAGCTATATGTAGGAGAACTCCATTGTGAAATGATGGAGGTATACGATAGATCACTTGAAATGCTTCCGATTTATCTACAGTATGACCGCTATCAATAAGATGTGCCAAGATAGAACTGCGTATTGTTTTTATCTGGCCCTTTATAAACCAAGCTGGTAGATGTTCCACTCATTGGTTGGTTAAGTTGCCTGGTAGTATTTAATATTTAAATCATTTCAGAGGAACTATCTTAACAGTAAACAGAACAAAAACAAAATAAATTTGGAAAAGAATTCTTCATCGTAAATATGTTTTTTTTTGATTTGGAGAAATGGATCATAACAATTTTGTTACACACTACTATTCAACATATTACTTACCTGTAAAGTTTCAACAACTGATTCAGTTTGATTTATTTGTTGTTGCAAGATTAACAAACTACTTTGAAGACCTTCTAAATCTGTATAGGCTTCTTCTAGTACACCTTCAATGTCTAATAGAATATGTAGAAGTTTTGAAATAATATTTTAGTTAATATGATTATAAAAAAAAGAACTTGCAGTATACGAATGTGATACAGTGTTCATTGAAAATCACGACGGTTAGAACCGGAGATTACTTTGATAAAGATTATACAACTACTTACACTGAATGGTACTTTTTGTTGTTGTTAATCTAATGAATTGTAATTTGAACATCTAGTTTGAAATGTGTTACTAGTCAACAATATTTTAGAGTTGAATAAAACTGCTATTTGTGGAAATGATTCCAATCCATTTTCCAGGTATAATTACATTCAATAACTTTAAGTTTTATGAATCAATTTCTAAAATACATAAGATCTCAGAATAGGGCAACTTCCTAAAATAGGAATGACTCTATAATGGACTAATGAATATTGCTTTTAATTATTTTATTTCCATATCTAAGTACTTGAGTTATTCGGTAGAATATTCATCCCCGATAAGTATAGATCTTATCACAGTTAATAAAGTACGATGGTGCATATTATCAAGAATAATTATGTACATACTAAATGGAAAGGAGTTGGAATGTTAAGGGTGAAGTCTATTATCGACGTTTAATTAGAAGGGTGACACCAGAGAATTCAAAAGTACTTTTATATTTTATTTCGACTCACATTTGGTGGCCAATCATTGCAAATAGTTTGATGAAAGTAAAGGAGACGGAATAAATCTATATGTGCCGAGTGTTACAGCAATTTATGACAATCTAGACGTTTTATGTCATTGTGACATTAATTTGGACAAAAACGGTTTGAAATGTCGATTAGGGGAATATAAATAACGGTCAGTCAGAACGTAGTAACCAAATGCTTGAAATTTAAAGAAAATGTGGTCAACAAATTAAAAGCTAGACCACAATGGAATACCTAGAAACACTAGACGGCCGTTTCGTTCTATTGTGAGACTCCTCAACAATGCACAACCATGATCCCACACCGCGAGATTCGAATCCAGAACCTATCGATCTCGCGCGTGATCGTTTAAGCTCTAGACCATTGAGCCGGTATCCAACGGTGTTAATGCCTAACTTCATAAAATTGCACCACCGTCCACCATTGTCTTCAGTGAGTTACTATCTCTGAGGAGTCCCAAACTAGGACGAAACGGCTGTCCAATGCTTCCAGGTTTTCCATAGTAGTCTAGCTTTAATTGACTCATGAATCCAACTATTAAATTACCATAATATCCACAAACTCCCCCCCCCATCAAATGAGAAGAAATTAAGTAGAGTAAAATACTATGGAAGTTTGTTCTATTGGTTAATTATTTTAACTGATTTTAATAATAATTTCATAGTGAGAACCATCAATTACTGAAGTAGAATTTTCTTAATAACTTTATGTCTTAAAAAAGTTAGTAACTTTATATAAAAGTGTAATACCTTCATTGGTTTTGATAAATTCTTTCATACATGTTGTTTGTAATTCAGCTTCTGATTCTAATCTAGCTACACGATCAGTTTGATTGACTCGACCTAGTTCTTCATTAGCGTTTAACAATTGTCGAATACGTGACATTAATGATTTCCCTATTGTACTACAAATAACAAATAAACATATATATATATAGTAAATGAGAGCTCAGGTGGGGAAGACTAATTTATTGTTTCGTGATTAATTACACTGTCTTGGTAAATTATGGAAACCATACATTAAATACATCATTTACACATCTCTCATCAGTTGTCCTTTAGTTAGTTAAATCATACTGATATGTAAATGGAACGTTACTGAACCAATCCTAATATTTGGAAGATTGATTCGGTAACCAATAAGCAGTAGTTCTCCAAATGTGTTTTATGAACGAACTATGTTTTGCGGGGTTCATAAATCATATATGAATATAGGATGTTTAGATTTATGACTAAATTTTTACAAAGTAAATAAAATGGTGAATCAACTTCGTATTGAATTCTCAACAAAGTTACAGGTTGACTATGCTAAGAAATTAAGATAACCAACGAGAGAAAATGAAGGTTATAAATCAAAAATACAATACACCAATTTATGTCTACTATTATAACATGATGCATGACAATAAGTTATTGTTTTAACTAACATACATCATTTGTCATTTTACAGTTTAAGGAATAAAATCTCATACCCGTTGCATAAATGAGTGGCTATCCGGACTCAGTAGCTAAAAGGATAACACGATAACGTTTGGAGCAAACGGTACTGGGTTGGAGTTTCAGAGTGGACGTTAACTCTTGGATGCGAGTACATCCAGGTGACAAACACTAAATAAACCAAAATGAGCGTTCTAGATAACACTTCTATGTTGACAACATTATTGTTTTTCAATGGGAACAGAAAACATGTAATTGAAACAGTCCTACAGTAAATAAAGATTTTAATAACTGGTATATTCGGCGCATGAACTGGAGAAAGTGTCTCTCCGATCCAATTATTTATTTATTTATTTGAACACATAAAAAGTGGTACAAGAGGGCACCAAATATATGTGCGCCATACAATAACAATGTGAGTGGGAAGGGAAAAATAATGTAAGGTGCGTATAAGAGAGAAGAAAGGGAAAAAAGAAAATAACGATCACAGATTAGTGTATGATAGTGTAATAATAATAACAATAATAATAATGGGGGAAACGGGAAGGCACAACCAGAAAGAAATCTTTCAGTTAAGGAAGAAGCAACCACTTTTTATGAAGAAAGTAGAAGGTTACAGCAGGATCGTCACTGGCTTCTATTCTGAGCCATATCCGATAACACTTTGTTGCACCATCTCTCGGACCCCAGCCAGGAAGTCGAGAAGAACCAACAGAAGCCAGCCCTTTGCAGCTTTCTTTCATACCGCAACACCATGTCATGCACTGACACCCTCTCCGCTTTTTTCAACCAGTCCCAGAGTCGGCAAATAATGCACGGCGTGGAATTCTCTGGGACGACATTCGTAGAACATGTCCAAGCCACCGAAGTCGGTGTTTCAAGATGGTGACACCAATTGCATTATCGTCTCTGTGCCCGAACACACGATGCCGAACCTCTGCATTACTAACATGGTGTTGCCACTGGATGTCAGCAATCCTTCGGAGACAACGATGATCGAACACCGAGAGTCGTCTAACATCCTCAACTCGGAAAGGCCAGGTTTCACAAGCATAGAGCAAAACTGCTCTCACCGACGCGTTGTAGATCCGGCCTTTTACAGCCAGACTGACATCATGAAGGCGCCAAAAATGGCCCAGATTGGCATAAGCCACTCTGGCTTTCACTATACATGCATTGATCTCATCGCTCACGCCACCACCAGCACTTATGCAGCTACCTAGATACACGAACTTCTCGACTACTTCTATTTGCTCACTACCCAGAGTGAGTCTTAGGAATAATAGGAATTGAAGAGGGAGATTGATTATGAATACAGTGGTCTTGAGTGCTGTTAGAAGTATGAGGGCGGTTATCACTTCCCGGTTGCCCACACCGTGGAAGGGTTCTTCTGGAGGTACCTGAAAAGGAAATTGGATTAAAGGTGGTCTCAGTGACCTGAGAGCGTGACCGCAGTGCCCAAGGGACAACTGCTTGAGGTCGGTCACATACGACCTTGTTATGGGTAATTTTTGTGTTAGCTCCGTACTTATTGAGACCTTACCGCCGGAGACGGATATCCGTGGGATAAGGCAAGGTGTGCATTTTTAGGGTCGACCTTTTCTAACCCCACCCCTCCTTGTGGGAAGGCAGCATCGCTGTCATGCTGGTTGTCCGAGGGAAACACCTTACTGCTGTCACACCTCTGTACAGTCAGCAGTACGACTTCGCCTTCAGACCTTGAGTTTGTTGCTTTTAGTCTTACCGCTCTTCAACCGACCTGTCTGACATGGTAGGACCTTGAGGAACGGTTGTTCCAGCCAGTATAGCTCGGTTGCTTCATCACGATAGGCAAGCCCGACCACCACGTCAAGGTAGCAACAACGGTCGGACCAGGGTCCTGTCAGTTTTGTAAAAGTACTTTGCACTTTGAAGGTGCAAAGCACATATGGTACCCACGGTAAGGTACAATTAATTCCAATACAATTATTCATAAAATATTCATTAAAAACAAACTGATATCCGAAAAAATAACAATAACTTATGAAAATACATAAATGATACAATTCAAACGTAAGTTTTAGTTATATAAACTGATACAAACAGGTCAAAATATCGGAACTATAAAACAAAAAACTGTTACTTGCCAGAAAATATTCTACCATTTTAGACACACTTAAACAAAATATTTATTAATTCAAAACGTTTAAAACAATTAACTCATTTGATAAACCTAGAAAATACAATGAGACAATCGACTTTATCAAAACTATTTGAAATATATTAACACAATATATGTTGAACAATCTAATCACTCATGTATCTATTAAGGCCTTTATATATGAAAAAATAAAAGACAACTAGATAAATTGTAAGATAAACGAAAAGTAGAATATGGATAACCAATCGATATCATCAGGGTAAGTGCAGTATACGTATAAATTATTTTCGAACACAAAACTGATTTGAATCTTTATATGAATAGGGATTCATCAAGTCTAAGTATTGGCTTTAGATAGCATCTATACAGAATTACAAAGGTTAAGGTAACATCAGACTTATAACCTATTTCAACTGTTTGTTTAATAACGGAAGATTATTTATTATTTATTTTAACACATACATATTGGTACAAGGAGGCACCAAATACATATGCGCCACACAAACCTCATTCGATATGTGTGAGGGCTGTGATACTGCCCGAGTGCCCAAACCGAACCAGGTGGTTTTCTTAGAGGGCCAATCCTCGAGCCTTCGACTTGAAGGTTTGATCCACAAGGTAGTGGAGCATCGTAAGGAGATGCAGTCCCATGGAAGTCGGTGACCAACAATTGGTTCGTACGCCATTTGTTCCCGCAGGATAACGGAAGAAGATAGATATCTATCATCTGGCGTTATTGGGTCGATAGACTTGATTTTTTTTTCGTAGACAATTTTATACACATTCAGCCTTTTTGTTGCATTATCTAAATCTTTTAATTTGACTTAAAAGGAATTTATCAATCATCTGTAAATTGTTAGACCAGAAAATCTCTTACAACTTTCATACAGCTCATTCTTATCTATTAACTTGTTATTTCTTTAAATATTTAGTGAGTGAAAAACACCTCAGTCTTGTATTATGAGTAGCAGTAGTAGTAAGAGTAGTATTGTTTAAAAAAAATAATGATATGAATGTGTATTTACCTTTCTGGTGAAAATCTCCATGCTAACATATCATCATTACTTTGTCGATATTTATTTTGTGCTTCTTTTGTTATTTCATGTAATTTTTTATAAACAAGATTCATTGAAGGTTCAAAGAAATGTTTCAATGTGATTAATGAACTAGCATCAATACCAATAGAATTTGATGAATAACCAGATGTTGTTGATGCATGTACTTTACTAAATTTCGCTCTTTTAGCAGGCTTTATATTTTAAAATGTAAATAGTATTAAACAGTTATGTTATTATTTGCATTTTTATTGAATAATAAAATAAAAAAAACATACACTAGATGATGTAAAAACTTTATAAACCTATTTATGATTCTCTAAACTGTATTTTCTTTATACTTGTATTTGTTTTGTGTTAATCGTACTACTTACCAATTATAAGTAGTTTGAGTTTCAGTAAGTCATTTTTACGAACAACATAGTGTAGCAAATGACATGACTATGTTTTAACGATACGCTCAACATATCCGTTTATGAGCGCATTTCAACGTTTTGGTCTAATAATATGATGGCAATCCTTATTCACTGTTTTTTTTAACATTTTTCGTGAGTGACACTGTTCGGAATGATGTTTGTCAGGAACAATTAACTGGCTTTAAAAAAGTGGATGAGACTTTAACCTGAAACAACCATGAGATTTTTACTTATAATATAAGCTATAATCTAAAGGCTAAGAGTGTCCAAATCGCAGTCACTGGGTATCGACTGTACGTAGTTGATCCGATTCACCAGGTTTGAGTAGCCACGTTAAATCACTAGTTAAATATAGCTTAAAGTCTAAGTCGAAAGAAGATAAATGAACAAGAGGACAGTAATATATCCAGCTAAACCGTAATATCAGATGTTTGTAACTCTACAACCAAATTAAAAGTTTACATTTAAAAACAAAACACTGTATATCTAAATAGCAACTCAGTAAGTTAAAATAGACTGGGTGCTCAACGTCTCACCACTTCAATTGCATGAGACCTCATGATATTGTTGACAGTCTATATTGAACCAAGTGAGAATACGATTTAAATCCAGAATCTAATTGTTGAAATTTCAATAGTTATTATTGATCTATATTTTACTCAATGAGAACAAGTGAACTATCCCTTTAGACCTGGACGTGAACGTATAAAGTGGAAACAAAAATCACATTACACGATAACTCACCAATATATATTCCATTTGAGCTAAACTGAAGTCTGCATTAATATAACGCGCTAAATAAGAATCCAATTGTTCATGATATTTTTTCTCAGCTGCATAAATTTGATTTTCTACATATTTATTTATATATAAACCAAAAATATAAAAAAATTAATAAACAAACCAAGATCTAACTTTTCTTCATCTAACAATTTGAGTTTTTCTTCAAGACTTCGTATTGTACCATCTTTATTGTTATCTCTAGTGAAGATTTAAGAAGGAAGAAATCATCACAAAGAAACCATACATATTGTCCGGATTATCCATGTCTGAATTATACTTATTGTCTACAGGTGATTTGATCTGTGATGTATGATCTGCCATCATTGTTCAGACCTGAAATAAGAATCCAATATAATGCACAGATAGACAAAGACTTTTGAGTGATTGTTTTCAATATTATTTCACAGTAGTACCTGAACGATGAACCAATAAATACTTCATTTAATCATTTCATAAAATGTATTTATAGAAGCTACATAACGTTAAACACATATGTGTTCAATATTACTTCGGTAGTTTTGTTTGCTTTAAACGATGTGACGGAAAGACAAACCTGACCTAATATCTAAATAATACCGGATAATATTATGAACTTGTTTTTATGATCCCACAGATATCACCTAACGAATATTAACTGAGATTCCTACGTTGTTCTTCTAAACATTTTCAGTGAAAATTTAATCTATGGGAGGTAGTGAAAACGTCTTGACTGAACCATCTGAGAGAAAGAAATATGCATAACATAACTTTCAAATCGACCTTTTCCTCCAATATCTCGAACATATACTTAAAGGGATTATGTTATACAAGCGTGCGACCCTCTCAGTTAGTATCAAAAGTACACAATGAGCAGAAAATGAACAAATCCAAACCCCAGAATGAAAAAGGAAAGAAGTACTAAAATAACTGGATAGTCAGTAATGAAAACAGGAAATATCATTAAAGGGATGAAGTTATCACAAAACTAACCAAACCTTGTCACGAGAGTGAAAACTCACTAAGCAGTAATGAATAGAACATATTTCTACTTTCCATGAGATAACTAATTATTTTTCACCTAGTTTACTGATTTATTCTCGCGACTATCTTGAATTTATGGCACCGAAACTATCACTAAGATCAAGCTTAGTGAATTTCGAACTTTTGCAGGTTCGTCAAGTACACTACACTTCGATAAATGTACAACTGTCAATGGACACTACAGAGAAATGTATGTCCATTTAACCTGTCCAGAGGTTTTTCACCAGTGGTAATCAGTTCCCTTCATAAGATATAGCCTAAAAATTCAAACAAAACACCCAACATTGTGATCATCTAGTAATTCCTGGCACAGAATAAGCTTTGATGCTGAAAACGTGTGGTAAAAAATAACTCCACAGCCGAAAAACTGCTTTTGTTCGCCGCGTTTTCTAATCTTGAGGGTGACTGGAAAGATCACACTAATAAAAAAAGATAAATATATGAGTTCAAAAAAGAAATGACGTTAGAGAAACCGACAGTGGGGTAATATAGGTGATCTGGTGAAGTCTATAAATAAACTGATGTATTAACAGTGAGAAATATATGACATTTGGCTCGAAAAAATCGAGTGTCAAACGAGATGGTGACAACATTGTTTCATACCCCTCGAAATCAGTGAACTTAAAGCACCGTTTAGAAATAATGAGTTGGAGAGGTAAACAAAACACGGTCGTAATGTAAAACCGTATATTTCGAAAGTCATCTTTACATATTAGTTATTTACAAAATACGACATTGTACGTATAAGTAGTCAGATTATAGGGAATAACGCCATTTACAGAATACTGATAAACAGTAGAACAACTGTCGCATTTTTACAAAAACAAGGAAAGTGTAGGATGACTGAACAGTGAACATTCAAAAATGGAACAACAAAATCAATCATTTTCAACAGTCATTGGAAAAGATAAACTCTCCATCAGACCATCTACTTTCTCTTGAAGTTTACTAAGAATATCTGCATCGATAAACAAATGATAGTCATCTAAATCTGTATGTACGAAATTTTTGCCCAAAACTAAATTTTCTGCTAAATGTAGGAGAAATTGTTTCATAGCAGGGTCACTGAATTATAATCAACAATTAGATGGTAACTATTAATATTCACATTACCACTTGACGAGAATTCCTTTATGAACATTAACCATTGCTGCGGACGTGAGCTCGACAATATGAAGAGTTTTTTATGCTGTAGGAAAAGTTAACGTGTACGAATGTTAGAAGTCAGTCAAAAAATATTATTATAACAATAGTAACCAAAGTATGGAGCTTAGCTTTCATGCTAAGCTGTATAAATAAACAAAACGTAAGCACGAGATAACTGTACTCACTTTTAATGAAAATAAAATATACTATAGTGCCCCAAGTTGGGGACTCAGATCAAAAAGTTAATACAAACGTTATTAGTGATAGGCGAATAAAAACTCAGATCTTCACTTAAACATGCATAAAAAGTGATAAAATAATAACAATTAATACGAAATGAACGATACTTGAGAAAACATGCTATTAGAAAACACCAAAAACTGAGTTCACTCAAAAGGATCAAAGTTCTTTCAACTTCTCGACATCTTTTGAATATCTTTCAAACTATTGATATCCAATGAAGAGATCTAGATAAATCCTATGCCCAACCACCGACTGCCCCGATGAGTGATGCTTTATGGTGTAGGAGTAGGTTAGGAGAAAGCTAGGAGTGGTCAGACCAAAACATGGCACAAGTCCATGAAGTCACTGACAAGTGGACTGCGTCATGTTGGTAGGTGTAGACTAAATGGTTGGGATCCGCGAGATGATAGCAACCGATGGTTAGAGACATTGAATGACGTGTCTAAAAATCGTTTGCAATGGTGCACGTGCATCCACTCTTTGTGTTCTCCTAAATTATAGTCTTCTGAATTCTTCATGTCCCTTTCTTTTTTTTTCTTTCGAAATTTATTTCACGGGATTATACTCTTTGAATAACATCTTCAAACCTTAGTCTTTCCGACTACTGCTTATACTTTTACTACCTCTACCACTAAGGGATTTAAATCGACAATTGTATCTGTGCGCTAATGTGGTATGGCAACTTGAACTGATGTAAGTAAGTACGAAGTTCTAAGTTATTGCCGACTAACTTTAGCTAAATCCGCCTCAGTGAATATTTGCTGTCTATTAAGTGCAAATGAAAAATCATGAATACATGGAATAGAATATGTCAGCAATCTTCGAGTTGTTTGAAATTCGATAGGCCCCATAAAGACACTAATCTTCGACTCTATTACTATATGTAGTGATGGTACTTAAAGGTCGGATAATGCTTAATTGTATTACCAGAACTTCAAGTTAGCAGCGGCGAGTTTACCACGTGGTATGCCCCGAGTCCAAGACTTGACTGGCTAACCTTTGGTGTATCATATAATGCAAAAGTGCTTCAGACTACCAACCCGATGTTTTGATTTTATGGCTTCTGAATGCTGCTGAATGATCACACCTAAAGCACCGTCCAATGACGTATTAATTCTAATTCTGTGTATTCAATCAAAAAGTTGGATGGACATGTAAGTGAGCTCGGAAATCAGTAAGCTCCCGGTAGTTAACATTAACTAGCAGATTGAAAACCCTCAAAAAACCACACCGGAAATAGCAGGATCAGAACCAGGTACTATAATCATCCAACTAAACTGACGCCGAATATCAAGGTCCGAAATAAACAGCTGTCCTCCAACAGCCTTCTTTTTTAGAGATTACTTTCTTTTCTTTGTTATAGGCCGCCAGGTTGGTGTCAAATTAATAATGCCAATCTACTCATCTGTATACCAGGAAATGGGGACCTGAAGTCATATCGCGGGAGAGGGTCGTTTACGAAATTGAGAGGACGAAAAGCGAATGTCCGGTGCTTTAACCGAGTTGGTGGATACGGAGAGTCCACCTAGGGGAGTTGGAAAACCCTGATTCCAAACAAATGGTGTACATGGGCTCCAGTATCCTGAAAGAACAAATGACTTATGAACCAATTATTGGTCACCAGCTACCATGGGACTGCATCTTCTGACGTTGCTCCATTGCCTTCTGGATCAGACCTTTGTGGTAAAGGCTCGGGGTGTGGCCCCCCAAGAAAACCACCTGCTTCGGTTTAGGCATCCGGGCAGTACCCCAGCTCCCGCACAAATCGAATAATTTATGTGGCGCATATTTGTTTGATGCCTCCTTGCATCAATGTGTTTAAACAAATAAATAAAATAAAAACAAAATAGGTGGCTAGGAAGTTGGTCAGTAACTGCTACTGTCTAGTCATAGAGTTTCCCAAAACGGGAAGTCTTAAACAACTTTTGAGTTGTCACACGATTTATTGCTTTGTTATCATATTTTCGACTACATAAATAGATGAGTTTTATGTCAGTCAGTTATGCACAGAGTAGAACCCAGTACGTGTGTACATCGGTTCAAGTTGCCAAACCCATTAGCACAAAAAGATGATATTGTCAAGTCAAATCTCAGAGTTTATTATTTATTTTAACACATAGATATTGGTACAAGGAGGCCTCAAATACATATGCGCCACACAAATCTCATCTGATTTGTGTGAGGGCTGCGATACTGCCCGAGTGCCCAAACCGAACCAGGTCGTTTCCTTAGGGGGCCAATCCCCGAGCCTTCGACCTGAAGGTCTGGTCCACAAGGCAGTGGAGCATCGTAAGGAGATGCAGTCCCATAGAAGCCGGTGACCAACAATTGGTTCGTACGCCATTTGTTCCATCAGGATACGGAGCCCATGTGCATCACTGGTTTGGAATCAGGGTTTTCCAACTCCCTTAGGTGGACTCGCCGTATCCACCAACTCGGTTAAAGCACCGGACATTCGCTTTTCATTTTCTTAATTTCGTAAACAACACCACCGCCAGGAGAAGGCAGTGAGTAGGACTTCCCTGGCAGAGGCAATATACGCGTGGCCATGTGAGAGTATTTCGAGAGGGAGAGCGGACTCTCCCCACTCTCGGCTGTACCAGGGCGTTTGGGGGCATCTCAGAGTAGCAGAGATAGTTACAGTATCAGTAGTAATAGAAAAGATTAGGTAATGAAGATACAGACAATTTTAGGTAATTCAGAAGTCCAGGATTTGGGGAAAGACATAGAATGAATTAACCTGGGCCACTGCAAAAATTCTTAGGCTGTGTCATTTAAAGCTTGCAACCAGTGGTTCTGGTAGTCGAGCGGACCGAAACCAGGTAATCTACACCTATTAACATGGCTCAGTACAATTGTTAATACCTTCATAGCCTGGTGCCAATCTTTGGTAGCACCTAGCTTTCTTCCAGCCTGCCACCTGGCATTTTAGGACATTTTCGGCCTAAAAACACTTCCCCGACAATTATTCGTGGATGTACTATGAAGAGACACCTTTAATGCTTTTAACTTTGCTATAGTATTAGCTAATGTTGATGAATATTGCGAACATAGCACCGCCACATGCCGAAGTGGAAATGATTGAAATCGGCACGAGATTAGGAGCCACTAATAAATTTTATAAGTGGAGCATGATTTGGTATTAATATTAAAATTCAATCCGCCACATATACCATATTTTCCATAGGTAACACAAAATTTGTCGTGCTAATACCTGGCTCTAAACCCAAACATTCAATAAAATGCACCGGTGACCCTATAAGGGCTAATCATTTGCTCTATCTGAGCATTTTAAACATTTTACTAAGTTACTCCAAGGTGAAAATCTTGTAATATTGACAAACCATAGACCTCTAAAAGCCTACGTGTCAGCTGTCGTATGCCGCGGCATGACAGATATCTGTCATGTACATCTATCATGACATCGATGTCATTCAGTTAGCTAGAAAAGAATCTACAAGCATCCAGATGTATTATTGAATTTAAGTGTCCCAAACTAAATTTTTGCCTTATCTGTATACAATGATTTGAAAACCTACCCAACTTAAAGTGAAGAAATTTAAAAAGATTCACAAAAGCCACTTTGTAGCGGATCACTTAATTACCCGCTACGTATCCAATATCCAGGATATCAGTTTCAGTTCAGTTTCAGTTTGGGAAGGACAGGAGGCTCGATGGCCTATGTTAGTCCTGGCAATGGTGATCTCTCAGTTGATCAAACTTTCTCTTGAAAAAGTCGATGGATGGAGTCTCAACCACGTGCTGAGGTAGTGAATTCCACTCGTTTATGATTCTATGGGAAAGTCGATGGTCAGCTGACAAGTAATTTGTTCTCGGCTTATGAACTTTTTTGGAGTGTTCTCGTAAATTCTCTGTTTTGAAAGACAAGAAAAATGAGGGCATATCAGGTGCGAATTTGGCACTAAGCAATTTGAAAACTGTAAGCAAGTCGCCTCTAGTTCTGCGATATGACAACGGGAAAAGGTTCAGCTTGGCCAGTCGAGATTCATACGGAAGCTTCGCTATTCCGGGAATCAGCTTAGTCGCCGTTCTCTGAACCTTTTTAGAAGTTCACTGTCTTTTTTTAAGCAGGGGCTAGCCGCTTGTATACAGTACTCAAGTTTGGGACGTACGAACACTGCATACAAAGTCAAAAACGTTTTGGCGTCGACATGACTAAAAGCTCTACGTATTGACCATAACGTTCTAAAACCTTTGGCGGCTATTGCACGGTAGTGTGCAGTAGTCTTTAAGTCTTGACTAACGATAACTCCTAAGTCATTATATGTCTGGACGACAGGTAGCTCAGTGTTATTCATCGTGTATGTATCTGTGCCTTGATGACCGATGTGCATCACAACACACTTGGAAGTATTTAACGGCAACTGCCATGTTTGAGACCATTCAGATAATTTCTTCAGGTCATTTTGAAGTTCTAAGCTATCACTCTTACATCGTATCGTTTTCCATATCTTGACATCGTCAGCATATAGCAAGACCGATGATGATAGGAGACAAGGAAGGTCATTTACATACAAGAGGAATAGCACTGGCCCCAAAACTGTACCCTGGGGCACTCCACTAAGCACAGTTTCCCAGCTAGATAACTTTGAGTTCACCCTTACTCTTCGTTGACGCCCAACTAAGAAGTCTTTTATCCACATCAATAAATTGCCTCCAATCCCGACATGTCTTAACTTATATAACAGCCTGTTGTGCGGAACTTTGTCAAAAGCTTTACTGAAATCAATGAAGGCGACATCTACAGGTAGCTTTTGGTCCTTAAGAGCGCACCAGCTTTCACGAGCCACTAATAAGTTAGTGAGACAAGAGTAACCTATTCTGAAGCCGTGCTGCTTCTCCGAGAGGATCCGGTTTTTATCGAGATACTTAAACAGCTCCTTCCGAATAATCTTTTCTAAGATCTTAACAACCATGCTAGTTAGGCTAAGGGGGCGGTAGTTCTCAGGTTTGTGTTTCGTACTTGTTTTGAAGACAGGACTTACTATGGTGTTTTTCCAGTCTTTTGGTAAACGACTCTGCGTAACGGATAGGTTAAAGCATGTACTTAAAAGGCTAGCAACGAAGTTAGATAATTCCTTCAGTAGCCTAGGATGTAATTCATCGGGCCCCGTGGATTTACCTATGTCAAGCTTATTTAGCAGACCAAAGACATCGAGTTCTTTAATGATCACGCTATCCAGTGTATGTATGGGGGATCTGTATACACTGACGGGAAGGGCGCTTCTATGGTATATACGTTGCTAAAGTAGTTCGAGAACACTTGAACCTTACCATAGTCGTCTTCCACTAACGATGAAGCAGTACTGTCTCCCCATAGAGCAGGAATATTTCCTTTTCTTTTTGTCCTTTGGTTTATATAAGAATACAAGCGTTTAGGACATTCTACGGAGTCCTTAACAATCTTTTCTTCGTACAACTTTCTAGACTTACGGAGGGTCGAGGCACAAGTATTCGGAGCCTTTCGATACTGAGATTTTGACTCATCAGTCCCCAGTAACCTAAATCTATCCCACATTTTCCTTTTCTTACGGAGAAGGATACGGACCTCCCTACTGAGCCATGGTGGTGAGTTTTTCGGCCCCTTTGGTATAGTCCAAGGGATGTGAGGTGTGGTAACTTTTAAGTATGATTTTCGAAATGCGTCCCAGGCCGTTTCAGTGGAGGACTCTGGGTCTATTGTCCAATCTATTAACGATGCTGAATGCATGATGTCTGGTATGTTTGCTTTCCAGACGTTGGGTCTGGACTGGACTGACGCGTCCTCATGACTGGCAGTTATATGGAAGTCAAAAGTTAAAACTGCGTGGTCAATTTTACCTAGGGGTGGCATATGGTGGAGCTTCGCAACATCATCCTCATAGTGAGTCAGTATAAGATCTAATAAGGATGATTCAGTGTCCGGATCGTACCTTGTCCCTTCTTTCACATGTTGCACTAGAGCACATGTGATAACCCCATCAACTAGTTCCTGCTCGAGAGAATTCTCTGACGATTTAGTTCGCAGATTTTCCCAGTCTACCATAGGTGCATTGAAGTCCCCTAGGATTAGACATCGACCAATTTGGGACCAAGTATTGAGACTGCTTAACAGGATCTCATTTGCCTCACAGCTTGGACTGCGATAGACCAAACCAATCAGCAGCTCTTGTCCCTTGCATTTTAAGCGAAGACTAACTAATTCACACGTCCCACTTTCATGGGATACACTATCGATAACGGCGAATGGGATAGCATTCCTAATGAATAGAGCTACTCCCCCTCCTTTGCGCTTTTGTGTTCTGTCGGCCCTTACTAACGTAAAACCCTCGAAATCAAGTTCCATACTGTCCATAGCCTGTGCTAGCCAGGTTTCTGTTACTGCGATTATGTCGGGCTTTGTAGAGTCAATCTGTACACCTAGTTCCGATCTCTTATTAAGTAAGCTTCGTGCATTGGTGTAACAGATCCGAAGCCTGTTCAGGTGCCTTCGTGCTTCACCCAGAGTGGCTTTGGCATCATTCTCTGTCGAAGTCTTACAACCCGAAAATTTACAATTTTCAGATCCTTTTCGCCAGCGTCTAACCTTAGTTGTAGTTCTTTCTTGGCTTCCCGTCTTTTAACACGGTCTGCTAACGATAGGTCCTTTCGGATAAAGACTCCTGAACCCTTTAATTTGTGTCCATTTTGTAAAATCAGGTCACGTTCGTTCGAAGAGCCGAATACCACTTTAAGCAGTCTGGAATGATTTGGTTTCGAGTCCGCTAGACTCCCTAGTCTGTACACCTTTAGCAAGGTGACTCCGGTCATATTTTGAGGCATGAGTTGATTAAGCAGCTGCCTTATCAGTACAATGTCATGCTCAAAACGAGCTTTAGGTTCAGAGCTCTCGCTCTCCTTGATTCTATGAAAAATAGCTGATCTGTCGCTATGATCAGCTTTCGATTTTTCAACTACTTTTACGGGGGCAGTGTTCCCTTTTATATCCTTACTTTTCTTCCTTACAACCTGTACCCATTCGTCAACGGTGCTTGTAGAAGCAATAACAGTTGCATCAAACCTATTGTTGGATTTTGGGGGTTGTCGACGACCTGAGAGGTCGGGTTATGTTTACCGCTTGAAACCGATTGAGCCTTGCGATTGCGGCTTCTAGGTGTTTCCTGTTGGATCCCATCTGGGAGACGGGGAACAGAAGACCCCACTTTTCTTGAACTTTTGTTTAAGGCAGGCCCCATTGGAGACTGCTTATCCTTCTTTGACGGGCGTGAGTCATCTATCATCGGACCAACCTTAGTTTCCTTCACGTTGATTTGCGTGTCAACAGATCGAGTCAAACATCTTTTTGATGATCATGTATAAACCATCCGAATTCCTTTCAGGGTTTTTTTCTCAGGCGAAGTTCAATGGGTGGCGGTAAGCAATAGAGTAAAAGATGAACAAATATACGCACGCACAAACCGTGTGAAGAACCTCAAGGCTAGAAGTGAAAACCAGGAAGGAAAAATATATAAAGGCGTAAAATATAACCGAAAAGATTGAAATAATTTATCTGTCTAGAAGCCAGTACAAATTCACGTGGGCAATATACAAGTGCACTGCAAACTTCTTCTTCATGAAGGCTTTGTCGTTGAGTGGTGATAATCTCATTCAGTAAACTAACCTCTAGAATTAAAAGTCGGACCTTAAAATCAAAGACATCCATTCAGTGGACTTACTACATGCAACCGATTCTACAAAAGCTATTTTGACAGAATTCTCAGGATGTACTAAAATCTGTCGTGAATCTGAAGTTATTACATGACTTGATAAGATATTTGTAACGTTTTATTGAGCTAGGATCTGTTGGGACACCCTGGTTATATAAATTCGGCCGAAATAAAGTTCGTCACATAGGTTGGCCTGAGTAGCATAAAACTCCTGTTTCGGTTTGGGCACCCGGGCAGTATCACAGCCCTCACACACATCGAATGAGATTTGTGTGGCGCATATGTATTTGGTGCCTCCTTGTACCAATATGTATGTGTTAAAATAAATAAATAAATAATAGTTGGAAACTACAGAAAATTCGGCTAAATCGGACAAGAATGAAATCTTGAAATTATTCGTTTGAGTGCAAAATAGCTCAAAGTTATCGCACACATATGTATACCATAATATATTTTTGATAAATATTTTGGTTAATAAATATGATGGGACGAAGACAGTTCCAGTTGTCAGGCGACATCAGTAAATTTATTGGAATGACGTGTGATTGGACTCACTAATTATCAATCAAACATTACCTTGCACTAAATTAGGATTTCTAATGAGACAAAATAATCATCTGACTCTAAATTTATGCGTATCAACGACAACTCAGACACTTCATTACTGGTGCTGTGCTTGTACGAATGTATACATTTGTACATATATGTGTATATAGTTAACCCTATCATAAACTGTGGTATTTGTACGAACTGATGATTCCTCTGTACTTGATTACCCGCTTATTACGAATTCCAAATAAAATAATTTCGTTTGTGTCCATCTAGTTCTTTCTAGCTTATAAGCCAGACATATAAATCGAACCGTTTCGGGAATTCGCAGTTACCACAATAATTCGAATATTTGTA